TTATAGACCAAAGCCATATAAAAAACTTTCATGTATTCAAAGATGGATTAAGAAGTGTTCTCCAAGAATTCAGGTGTGTGTTGTTTAGCAAACAATCGTATATTATTATTTTTTGACAAGCATTTTTCTCGACGAATCCGCGACAATTCAAAGACTTTCTCTCAAAACTTTTAATATTTCTATAGATAAGCTTAATTCATTTTAATTCATTTTAACACGAAGAGCATATTACGGCAACAAATATTCTTTATTTAGCTTTGTAAATCTTTAACAATTCGGTTGTTGTTTTTAACCAACTATCGTATATTTTTCGTTCAAGAAAAATGTAGCTTTGTTCGTCTCCTATCGCGGGGTCCCATCGGCAAAACRAAGAAGACTTACATTCAATAATTTTATATCTTTCTACAGATAATTTATTTAATTATTGAATGAAATATAAATTTACACCAAATATTCCACTGTTTATCAAGCTGTTCGAGCAAGTATGATCATAAAAATTAGCTTAAATTTGTGTTGTTGAGAGATGTTATTGTATAAAGTCCTAGACTTTCACTTTAAAAAGCTAAAAAATATTCAAAAACATTTACAAACGCCAATTTACTGACAAGAAATTCATCATGTTGTATCTTGCATTGCCTTTTGCATTATTTTCTATTTTGTCTCAGTTGTTCTTGTCAAGTTTAACTGAATGTAAACTTCGTCTCGTTCTGTATTTTCTGCTCACCTTAACCAGTTTTCAAGTCTGTTTTTAAGTCTTGGTTTGTCCTAAATCTCCAGATTTTCGATTTCAATGAAAGACATCCGAGGTAAATTTCACTAAACTTGATATTGTATTTGATTATCTGTAGCTATCTTTCGTTATTTTTTTAAGTAAAAGAGATTCAAAGCCTAAAACTGTTGGCCTTGGAAACTTTGTCGAAGAATATTCCAAGAACAAAACTAGCCCCTGGGAGTGGTGGTGAGTTGTGTACAAAATTCCTAAGTGGGAGAGTATACTCGCGCAAAAAAACAAAAAACAATGTAGTGCATTTCGATTCGATTTCACTGCATGGTTTTTATTATGGGAGTAAAATTATCTTCATCTCGAATAAAAAATAATTGAAGATTTTTTCCCCAATCTTATTTTTGCCTTTTCAGTTTCATTCAAATTGTTCTCCCTGTGACTTCCGTATCGGGAGCTCCGCTTTTAGGCAGTGCTTAAATATATATATTAAGTTTTCATTCTGGGCATCATTCAAATTGTGTTGGAGAATTTACCACGAGGTGTGTAGAGAATTAGCGTTTAATTTCCTTATGTTTGTAGCGAATGTATTGTAAAGTGATTGTAAATGTTTCAGAACCGTAGATGAGCTGTTATTGAAGTGTATATGAATCGCAGATGAATGCAGAGAAGTATTATTGTAAACGATCCGGAGTACTACAAGTAAACAACTAAGTTCGAGTTCATAACGAGTGTCCGTGTTTCTCGCATAAATCAGTACGATGCCACATTAGCTTCAATGATATGACCTTCTCGAACCCGACTACGTTTTTCAATTAGGTCGGGTTCAGAGACATAAAACATTAAAGATGAGACCGAAATAACACATGGGAAATGACATAATTATATTATAACTTATTCATTTGCGCCATCCATGCAGTCGGTTTAGAATGCCAAACGTGTATTCAGAAGACCTGCGTTTGAGAGTGGATGATGCCACGGGTCGCCGGTCACAGCATGCATCTAATTAACGTACTTTCCATGTGCCATTTCGGTCTCAGCTTCTATTTTCTGTGTTTCTGAATCCGACAACGATTCTTCAATTGAGTGCATATGAAAACTGGTAATTTATATGGTATAAGCCCCTATTGACGACTTTTAAAACTCCAGTGTATGCGTGCTAAGCCTGGAATGCAAGAGTGGCTTGTTTTGTTATTCTAATTTTTGCTTTTGTTTACCGACCTCAGAAGTGAGGCTAAGCGCACATACGCTGGAGTTTTAAGAGTCGTCAATAGAGCTTCATCATTGATGAAGGGACACACGTTTCAAAACGCCTTTTCTAGACATATTTTAGGCACTTATACCTTATGAATTATGCTTTTCAAGAGAAGAAGAAATTCATTATAAAATAATCAAAATAGAGCATGTGTAATCAAAACGATAATTGGAACGGTCGTTCATTCTTAGGAAGATGAAGAAAGTTAACCTCCACCGAAGGCTATAGCTAATCCATAATTATTCTCCAGAACGCAATTGGGATTCCTGTGTTGAAATATTTCAGGGGCAGAGAGTTTCTTTCCTGTCCACAGGAAGCCCAGGGATCGCGGAAGAGATGATAGCGGTGGAGGCTAACCTCCATTGTCAGATTTCAGATTATGCCTACTTCAATTATCTGGGATTTTTTTCGTCTTGTCTTCTGATATGGTAGTGACATCATCTGTAATAAGAATATCTAGCTCGTTTCACTGTATTCTATTATTTTTTCACAGCTTGCTGTGTTTTATTTGAAACAGTTGACTGTGACATCATCCCCAATAAGAAAGAAAGGAGCCCAGTGTCTTGGTTCGTTGTATTTTCCTGCTCTCATTTCTTTCATGGCTTGCTGCAAGCTTCTACTCGCGCTTTCTCCGCATTTTAGATGGAAGTAAAACTTTTGCATAAAGGTCATAGTAGCTTCGTCATCAATGGCCCACAGTGACGCTACAACAGCCCGAGCTCCTGCAGCAAGAAACGCTCGACTCATTCCAACTACGCCTTCTGACTTGATCTCACCACGACCACTGTGACAGCAGCTCAGAACAACCAGTTGTGGACGGACACCACTTTGCTGTACGTCACCCACTGTCAATAGAAAATCTTCTTCTTTTGGTATAGAACCCGATTCGTCGGAATTCGAACTAAAAGTGGGGGTCAGAGCGATGTCTCCTTCTGTTGTTCCATGGGCAGCGAAATGAATAACAGCCACGCCTTCTTGAAGTCTTTTCATTATGACGTCTTTTGCAGCTTCAGCTCCAATGAATGGTTCCACTCCTAGTAAGCTTCCAATCATTTTTGCCTCTTCTTCAGCAAAGGTCAGATTCTGGAACTGTGTTTTTTTGCCTCTGAGAATTACTTGTCCAACATCAGGATTCCCGATGATTAAGGCACCTGTCGTCTTGTGGTATTGAGAAGAACATTCTTGCAAAACCTTCAATGTCAGAAGTGATGGAACAAGCCGAATGCGCTTGGTCTCCGAGAGATACGCTCCTGTGGCTGGATCTTTCAAGGCTGCAAAAGGGATCAAGTTAAGAGGTCCTTCAGGCGCAAATACCACCTCATCATCAAGAAGATATTGATTCACGGGAGAGACTAACCCATCGAATAACATCTCAAGTGGATTTTCAATGCCTTCTTCTTCTTCTTCTTCCTCGTGTTCTTCTATGCATCTCCATTGTTCCTCTTCGTTGTTATTTATTTCTTCAGCGACATTTTGTTGGACTAATAATGCAGATGATTTCTTTCCACTGTGGATGTGATTGCAATTAGCTTGCTTATTACCGATTGACGTCGTCTTAAACGATCTGTTTTCACAACTCGCTCCTTCTCTCACCTTCATTTTGTCATAGGCGGCATTGACAACTTTGGAAATATTAGTGCCTATGGATTGCAGCTGTCCTTGATTCTTCCCTGGTATCCTGAATGAGCCTTGATCTTCATGACCCTCGATCTCATTTTGTACAAAAACCAACGGCTTCTGCTGCGACAAAATCCAGGCAGCTATGCTTGCGCCACCTTGATGTGCATAAAACACAAGCGTAAAAGTGCCACGAGAAAGAAGTGTCTCCACATCTGAATACTGAAAGGAATTCGTATTCAAAGAGTTGATGAATGGCAGGTCGTATCTGGAAGATAGAAGCTCGTTCAGAGCTCGAGCTCTTCCACGTTCAGACACAAGAAGAGCTTCCGCATTTTCACCCATTTCAGTTAAAACGTTTGCCAAGATCTTGTAAGACAAATGGAAAGTGTCAACAAAGGATATCTTCCATTTGTCTTCTTCTACTGAGTGATTATAAAGCCCTTCCCAACACTGGACGCTGTCTTCTAGGAAATCTCTGGCTTTTGTCATGCATTCGTTATATTTCTTGAGGTCCTTGATTATTTTGTAGGAATAACCCTGTGCTACATAACAATTGCCAATGAACATATTGGCAATTCCTTCAACACGCTTGTCTCCTGTATCTACAGAAATTTGTAACTGCTTTTCACGATTCTTGATAGCCTCCTCATAATTGCCTAATGCAAAGCAGACGTCACCCATTCCTCCGTACGCTGAACCTTCATTGGGTTTATTGCTCGTCTTCATAGCGATCTCTAGGAGCTTCTTAAAATAACTTAAAGCCTCTTCGTGTTTGCCAAAATGGAGGGACATGTCTCCCAAATGCCCATAGGCAATACTTTCATCGTCTTTGTTACCGATTTCCTTTGCGATGGTCAAATACTTTGAATAATACTCAGTAGCGCTCTCGTATTTTCCTAACGATTGATTTACTGACCCTAAACTCCCGTAAACACTGGCAATATGAGATTTTCTCCTTATCTCTTTGGCTATATCAAGACTTTTTTCCAAGTGCAGAATAGCAGTTTTCTGGTCTCCTAAGGACTGGTAGATGATCCCCAAACTATGGTAAGCTGTTCCCTCGCTGTCTTTATTGCCTGTTTCTTGCGCGAAGTTCAGACTTGTTTCAAAACATCGAACAGCCTTTTTATATTGACCTAAATGGAAATATGCATTTCCTAAGCCATCATTTGCCTCTCCCTCGCTTCCTATATCTCCTCTTTCCTTAGCAATGCTCAACTGCTTGTTAAGATAGTTGATGGCTTCCGTATAATTTCCTGATCTACTAAAGTCCGATCCTATATGTCCATAAACATTGGCTTCCTCTTTTCTGTCACATATCTCTATGGCAATGTCGAGGGCTTTTCTATGGCATTCTATTGCCTCTTTGTGTTGACTTATAGAACTGTTGGCAATTCCCAAGCCTAGATATGCGTTTGCTTCGCCGTATTTGTCACCAAGATCTTTTGCAATACTCAGCTGCTTTTCTCGATACTCAATTGCTTCTTTAGCCCTACCCAGACTATCCAGGCTGGTTGCTAGGCTTGCATATGCGCTCGACACGCCTTTCTTGTCACCTATCTCTTGGGATAGCTTTATACACTCTTCAGCATATTCTCTAGCCTGCTCGTATTTTCCAGTAGAGTAACTGACCCCCGCCATGTTTCCAAGCGACTTTCCTTGAATATCCTTGCACGCTATTTCCTCTGCGATATTCAAAGAATGTTCAAAATATTCGATGGCTTGTTTGTGCTTGCCTAAAGAGTGAAAGACATTTCCTAAGCTCAAATACGCAGTTGCTTCTCGTTCTTTGTTGCCCATTTCCTTTGCATTGCTTAAGTGATTTTCGTAATACTTCAATGCCTCCTTTTCTTTCCCCATCAATTGGTATGAATTTGCCAAATTAAAGTATGCAGCTTCCTCGCCGTACTTATAGCCAATATCTTTGGCAATGCTTAAAGCCTGATTATAGTTTCTTATTGCCTCTTCGTATTCGCCCATCGACTGGTAGGAATTTCCTATGTTTACATATGAGATTGTCTCACCTTCTTTGTCACCTATCTCTGTAGCTATTTTCTTTGATTTTTCGTGGTAATTAATGGCTTTCTCATATTCATTTGAAGATTGGCAAACAGCACCAAGGTTTCCATATAGAATTCCTTGTTTTTCCTTATCTTGAATATCTATGGCAATCTTAAGCGATCTTTCTAGATATTCAATCGCTTCCTTGTACTTGCTTAACGAGTAATAGGCGACGCCCAAGTTTCCATAAGCGTTGCCTTCCCCTTTCCTATCACCTATCTTCAGAGCGATGCTGAGAGACGCTTCATGACATTTGATTGCTTCCTTGGTATCCCCTAATGAATTAAAAGCGTCCCCCAAATTTCCATATGCATCTACCATGCCTTTCTCGTCACTCCTTTCTTCGGCGATCTTCAGGCACTTTTCATGGCAGTCCTTGGCCTCTCCATATTTTCCTATCGACTTCAAAGCAATTCCTAAGTTTGCGTTTGCATTAGCAATACCTTTCCTGTCGTCTATAGTCTTTGTAATGTCGAGTGAAGTTTCATGATACTTAATGGCATCCTCGTATTTACTCAATGATTGACAAATTTTTCCCACGTTCCCATAAAGAACCACAGCACTCTTCGCATCGCCAATCTTAGTGGCGATGGCTAAGCCTTTTTGATAGCAATTGATGGCTTCATTCCATTGATATGAATTTTCATATTCTATACCAAGACGATTGTATTGTGCAATTTGATGGCAGATACCATCATAGAACTCAGCCATTTTAAAATATTCTTCGATCAGTTCTTCCTTTCTCAAGTTTAGGAAGCCAATGGAACTACAGGACAAGCAAAAGCCAAGAAAAATCTTTATTTTCTCTAGCCTATTTTCAGCAATCCTATGATCATCCATACTCCTCTAAATAATAAGCAAATAGATTAATAAACAATTAAATAAATAAACAAACAATATATATATATATACTTTATTTGTTT